CATTCCTCTCCATCCAAATGTGAGCAACACTACCAGCTAGAACAAGTTTCTTAATCACAGAATCCACAGATTTCCCTTTAGAACAGCCACAAAACTTAATAATAAGATCATTCCAGTCATCATAATTGAACCCAACCCCAATCTTCTTACAAAAATACCTCCAAATCTGATTAGCATACTCACACCTGAAAAAAAGATGATCATGAGAATCATTCATTTTAAGACAAAGAGGACATAGAAGGATACCTTTGTTTCCCAAAATTTGACACGATCCTGGGTTTTCAACTTATTCAATACAGCTATCCATAGAATGAACGAGTTCCTAGGAATATTATTTCCAAACCATACAATATTATACCACAGAACCTTAAATCCAAAATTATTGATATCAATCCAAACTTTCTTACAAGAGAACTGCTTGCATGACCCAACCTTATCCCTCCAAATAATTTTGTCCATCTGATCAGCTTCATTACAGAACATTGGGCCATCCTTCAAACCAGGAAATTTATTCACCCATTCACTAGGCCAAGTTAAATGATCATTAACCATAATATCACATACCTTTGACATATCATTAAATCCTTTACTTAACCATTCTCTTCTTGAAATTATAGCACTAAGATTTTCAATGGGGTGCCACCAATCATGCCATATAGAAGTATTTTCACCATTCCCAATACTCGACACAACATGGGACCTAATATGTTTTCGCACATCAAGAAACCTCTTCCATGTCCAATTCATATTCTTTTTATACATGATATCCCAAAAATTCCTGTCCCTAATATAATTATTATACACCCATCGGACCCAAAGAGAATTTTTATTCTTCACAACATTCCAAACATGTTTGGCCAATAAAGCATCATTCCATTTCCTCAAGTCCTTCACTCCAAGACCTCCACACTCTTTTGGACTACACACAATGCTACAACTAACATTAACTTTTCCTTTAACCACTTCCCCATTACACCATAAATAACTTCTACACATTTTCTCAATCTCCTTAATTGTAGCCACAGGAATTTTAAAAACTGAAGCCCAATAAACATGCATAGAAGTCAACACAGCATTAATGAGCTGTAACCTACCAGCAAACGACAGGTTCTTATTTTTCCAATTACTAATTCTCATCTTGATTCTTTCAATTAGTTGCTTACAGTCTCTACTAAAGAATTTCGTGACCGACATTGGAACTCCAAGATATTTGAATGGAAACATACCAACTTCAAAGGGAAGAATGCCTAAAATAATCCTTCTCATATTCGGCTTTACACAACTGAAAAAGATCTGACTTTTCTCCATACTCACATTCAATCCCGAATTATTCTTAAATTCATCAAGAGAATCTTTAATAACCCTAGCTGATCTTCTATTCCCATAACAAAAAACCAGCAAATCATCAACAAAGCATAGATGAGTAATTCTTTGAGGCTTGCATTTGCTATGATATTTAAACTTCTGACAGCCTTCAATATTCTTTTTTAAGTATCAGATTAAAAATTTCCATGACAATAGTAAAAAGATAAGGAGATAAGGGATCTCCCTGTCTTAAACCCCTTTTTCCTTCAAAATAACCATGGTCCTCACCATTAATACTCAACATAAACCAAGGAGTTGACACACATGCCATAATCCATTGAACCATTATAGAATGAAACCCAAAACCAATAAGAATCCGCTTCAGAAATTTCCAATCCACCGTATCATAAGCCTTTTGGATATCAATTTTTAAGGCACATTTAGGAGCTCCCATCTTCCTTTTATACCCCACCATCAACTCCTGAGCAAGCAGAATATTTTCCAATATAGATCTTCCAGGTATGAAAGCATATTGATTTATATCCACAATATCACCCAGACTTCCTCTTATTCTATTCACTATAATCTTGCTAATACACTTATAAATGGTATTACAGCAGGCTATAGGTCTAAAATCCGTAACCTTCCAGGGAAAATCAACCTTAGGGACAAGCACAATTCTCGTATTATTAAAACAATTCAATAGTTTCCCCGTCCAAAAAAGTTCCCTCACTGTTTTACATACCTCAGGCCCAACAATACACCAAGCATCTTTAAAAAAATTAGATGAAGAACCATCAGGGCCAGGGGTACGGTTGTCATCAATATCGAACATCGCAGCCTTAATCTCCTTATCTTTCACCACTCTAATCATATCCAAAGCCACCCTACTATCCAATTTATTACAAATTAAACCATTATC